AAAGAGTGCTGTGAGAAGGGTTCGGCTTCCCGGCTTTCCTCCTTTGGTCCTGCCGCTGATGTGAAGAGGCATGGAATATAACTTCTCTCCATGTTAGCTCTTATCCTTTCACTGGACACCACTGAGAAGGGTCTGGCTCCATTTTCTGACACCATCCCATCAGGTATTTATACACGTTGATAAGACCCTCCTGAGCCTTTTCTTCTCAAGCCCCAGCAGTCCCAGCTCTCAGCCTCTCCTTCTGGAAGGATTTAAGTGGCGTGCCATCATGTGTTACAGCTTCTTATCTCCACAAAGAATAGGTTTGGAGATTTCAAATATCCCTTGGGCCTTAATGAAATTGAGAAGTGTCCTGCTTTATCAATTTTAATCTCGCAAAAAAAGGCGTAACAGGGAGCACTGAGGCAGAAGGCAGAGCCATTTTGTATGGAAAATGAATTTGTGGCGTATAGGCGTTGCTAATTAAGAAGCAGAAGATATTGCTTTACTAGTATAAACCATTATTTGAATATTTTGCACTTGGGTGAGATGGGATCACTCGGTCAACAAGGAAAAGCTTTTGAAAACGTCAATCAGTCCAGTACCAGTTATCTTTTATTGTGGGTGTATGGTATGTTCCACTAAGCACCAGGATTGATGCTGAGGTAACTCTTATTCCTACATTTAGTAATTACTTGTTGTTGTTTAAAGTTTTGGCTTAAACTTTGTAGCATGTAGGTACCTAGTGTATAAAAAGGTTAGTTGAGCTTGATTTGATCCTTACTTCCAGGTAGTTACTAAGGTTCATGTCAATCTCTTCCTTAGCTGATTTCTGTAGTTTTGTCTAGAAGGTTAGATTGCTTCAACAAATAAAAATATAAGGACTTTGCAAAAAAATATAGGTAGCTTTTCATGTTGATGGAAACTACAGAACAGGGTAATCAGATTTATTGTTGTAAAACTGTAGTCTTTTCTTAAAGCTAAGCTCCTTACAAGATGCCTCTTGAAGAAAAATTTCCATAAAACTGACAGCATGTTGGAAAAGATTTTTTTTTTTTTTTTTACAAACAGCCTTACATAACAATCATTGCCGGCCCTGGTTACTGCGCCTTGTTAAAAAGTAGAAGAAGAAAAGAAAAAGTTTACTGATTTTCCTGTAGTGTGTTTCAGCTGGATGGTCGGTTTTACTGCCTGCTTTGTATTCTTTCAGAGGTTATTTTTAACTACATCAGCATAAATTTGTCATCTTAGAATACAGATGTGCAGATTTTAAAAGCTGCAAGCATGCTAAAATCATTAAAACTGGGATTGAGGGAGAACATTGGATCTTTTTTTTTTTAACCGCTACAAATAGAAGCAGTTGGCCACAAGTTAAATGACTCGTTTAACCCAGCCATGTTTATAATAAACATCCCAAAGGGCAAAAGTATGAAGAGTTCCTCCCCCTGCTCTTCTCCACCTGACATGGTAGGAAAAAGGCGACAAATTGGGAATCTGTCTCAAGCTTTCAGGATTTCATGTCAGTGATTTTATTCTCGGGCTGAATAAGACAAAAAGGAGGAGAGTTTGATTCTTCTTGTTTGTGAGAATGTCGTCTTTAAGAAGTGTCTCGTTCTCTTTATTAGAAAAAGAGAAAATGCAAAGGTTTGCCTTAGCGTAATCCGTAATGATCGATGGTTTTTCCACAGTTGTCAAACTTATTTTATTCCCATGACTAAGTTGAGACCTCGGTTCGAAACACATACAGCTTTTCATTAGTCACTATAGTAACCTATATTTCATTTCCAAACCAAGCCTAAGCAGCACAGGTGATAATTTAAGCCTGCAGTTTGGAAGAAGGTGGTGTTTCTTTGAGCTTAGAGGCATTTTACCATTGACTCAAGTTGCAAGAAAATTCTTCCAAAACTGGAAGGTTTCCTGACTTCAGTGGAGTAGCTGGGTCGAGGAAGAAAGAACAGAACCCCAGAACAGAATAACCAGCACAGCTCTCTTGGGTAAATACGAGGCGTAACAGCTAACTTGGACTGTGGGATGGCATGACCTTATTCCATGCGACAGAAGGCTCCACAGAGTCTGTGAGACTGTAAAACTCCTGTTGGTCCCACGAAGTGGGCAAGATTTTGCCTTACCTTTTTGGGCTTTGGGCTCTGAGCTGTTCCCTTTCCTGCTCATCCGTACTGGCAGTTCTTATATGTAAGCGTTCGCTGGTAACCCTTGTTAACTGCCTTAATTGGCATAGGACAGTAGAAGGACAACTTTGTCTTCTAGGTGTCTCCTTCCATTACTGCTGTGGCAAGCACTCTCGCTTCTTCAGTTGCTTCTAAGTGAAAGAGCTCATCTGTTCTCCTGGCTCTTTATACCCTTTTCTCCACGCTTGCTTCTTAAGCCAGGCCTTTGCTTTTCAAATAAGTTATTTCTGAGTAAGTATACTTTTTCTTATATGCAAAAGCACTTCTCTAGAGTAGTTCTGTGCTGCTGGTTACTGTCCGTGAGCATGCACAGTGCATCAGCTGTGAAGGGTAATAACTAGGTTAAAAAAGAAAAAAAAAAAAGGAAATGCCACATAAGAGTCATCCAGGATGCCTTAGAAAAAGTGCAGGATGACTGTGCAAAATATATCACATGAAACCCACTCCAATTTTCATGATCTTTTTTTGAAAGCTCTTTTGAAAAGTGAAATGATGTGCAGTATTCTGCTAGAATTAGATGAGGATGAACTGAAGATCCAAGATTGATAGGTTTCCCGTAAAGTCTAGTTAGCACGTGTGAGAGTGCATGTGTGGGAGTATGTTTGTTTGTCCGTGTGCAAAAAACACACTACTTCTGTTTTAAACAAAGGGAAAGTATTACTAAAAAGTGCTGATTGCCTAGTCACAAATGTGTAGATCTAATTGTCACGTAGGAAGAAACAAGTATTTTCAGAAGCTTAGTTAAATGCTTTCATCTTCTATTTTAGGATTTCATTAAGTATTCTTCTTATGTTAGAAGTAAATGCTAGTATTTAGTGACAGCCAGAGTGCATGCTCTTCTGATTCTAGTGACCTGCTTTCCTCTCTCTTTCAGAGATGTGAGCATTGCCAATTTTTCTTTATATGGGAAATCAATACAACACTTAATTCAGTCTGGAGCGCTGTTTATTACAATAAATTCTTATGAGTGTCTGAACCAGTTGCTTTACATTGTTGGATGGGCACATTATGCCATTAAGAGTAGTCTCATCCTTTAAAATATAGGAAGGACCAGTGTTGTTAATGAAGAAACGTTGATGTTATGCCAGTAGCACACACAGCATTTTTTGTAACGTTTTTGTTGGTGAGGAGCTCAAGTACAGATAGCAGGTTTGTGTCTTAGAGTGACACTAGAAAGCCTTGCTCCAACCTGGTGTATTGGCCGTAGAAAATGCCTCTTTTCAACTGGTAATGCTAGAACATGAAGTTTCATTCCAAAACAAACTTCTGTATTGTCTTTGTTTTGCACTGAGGTGGCTTGTTGATGATATGGTAGAAAAGGTGAACAATGATATGACAGTATAGAAAAATGGAAAAGTTAAATGAGGTGATGTGATACTCCAAGTAAAATTGTTGATAGCACAATGTAGTTAGGTACTACAAGGAAGAGTTGTATGAGTCTGTGAGCCTAATCAGCACTGCCATAACTAGAGGCAAAAGGTCTGTTTTCCTGGTACAGATATGGTTTCGGTGAATAAATGCTTACATATAGAGCAGGATGGAAAATTTTAGATATTGTATGGTTTTGCAGTCATGCAGTTTTGCTTAGATATGCGTTTGGGGCTAGCCATGTCACCTCTTGCTGGCTTGATCTTCCTCCTTTGCCTTGTACGAAGTGACTGGAGCACAGAAAAGACTGCCCAGTGAGCAGAGATTACATGTTTAAAGAACAGAGATTTAAAATACCCAGTGTTGTAAAAACATGCAGTTGAGAAGTCCTTGGTATTTGTTGCCCTCACTCAACTGCGGTACTCTGTGCAGCTCTTTATTTTTATCATAAACTCTGTAAAAGGGGAGAAGAAAACAAATCCTTTTAGTTTCTCCATTGAACTTGCATTTTCTAGATGCATGGGATGGCAGCTGTGTATTATATTACATCAAAGAGTAGCACATCTGTCACCTTGTCCCTTTATTTCATCTGTTAAAGTCACCATTGCTATCATTGGGCAACTCCTGCATCAGTCTCCTGGGCAGAGAGATTTTACGAGCGAGTTTATTGTTACCACAGATACAGCTAGTTTGTTGTTTGAATTTAAGCCTGGATCCATTAGATTAAAATACTTTCTAGTGCAGTTAGACACTTTTACAGCTTCCGACTGCTCTTCTGTGAAATTCAGTTGTATAAAACTCTGAGCCAGGTAGTCTGACGGAGGAGGAGGTGTAGTTCCATTAAAGGGAATATTATTGGGAATATTATCTTTTCCCCGTTCTGTCATTGTACCCAAACCAAAACTCGCATGATAGTAGGTGCAGATCTTCTCTCTTGATTCAGAACTGAGAAAGGTTCGTTCTTACGTAATTAAACTTTTGTCTTGGAAGTTTAGTGTATTGTGGGCTTAGGTTTCTTAAATGTAGATCATCAAATTCTCAGTGATTGCTTATGCTTCTGTATTTGTGTCTAGTTCGTTTGAGCATTTCTCAGAAATGCATGAAAACAAGCAGAACGCTGTTAGAATTACTGTAAACAAATATGGGAGACGACACCAAATATTTTGGGTATGTTTACAAAAAAAATGTAAGGTTGCCTAGACATAATTGTAAAAACGGAATGCAAGAATATGATTAAACTGTCCTGGAGGCATTCATTCTAAATTTTATGTGATTTAATAGTGATTATACTTCAGAGCTGACCATTTTTGTTTACAGTAGCTTAGTCGGTATATTGACTGTTTTGGAATCACAATTAATGTCTTTTTTTTCTTTTTTTTACAGGCTGGACTTTGATATTCTTTTCATGAAAGTGGTTTCCAAGTAGTTTTACAATAACTTTGAGAAGAATTTCTATGTAGCTCTTTTACTTTCAAGAGTGCTGCAAAAATGATTACTTCAGATTTGCCAGTACTACAGTGAGTATCCATGTCTTTATATGTTTGAATTTTTCAGCTTTCAAAGGGCAGAAATAAACGGAAGGATGATCATGTGGTTAAGGCAAGAGCTTGAGAGCAGTGTAGGTTAGTGTGACTGTTCCAGGCCTCCTGTGTGGTCATATGCTGAAAAACTGTGTAAAAATTAAACACTTCTAATGGATCTCTTTCGTTATATGGAGACTTAACTTTGCTGTAAAAAGCAAAACAAAACCTTTGTCACTTCTATGCTTCTGAGTTTTTTAAGATTTCAGAAATGTGAATGGATTGAAGTCAATTGTTGACCGTATTCATGTATCCCTGATGCATGCTTTTTCCTATAGGGAGCTGTACTTACTGTGCAAAAAGCCTTCAGCTTCTGCATTTGAAGAGAGCAAGTGGTGGTAGTGTGTTTTGATTTTGCTGGCAAATATGAGTAGCTTTATTCAAATGGGTACATCGCTGGACCTGAATAAAGTCCATTACTGGAGAGAACAGAGTGGAAGTCTATAATGAGGGGTGCTAGAGACCAGCTGAATAGAAGAAGTGATTTCACCAGTGAAAAAGAAATGATAGAAATGGGAACAAAATAGAGCTTTATTTGGTAATTAAGTTCTTTGTTGGGAATGAACATATGAAAATGGAAATTATCACAGTATTTGTAAAAATCATCAGTTTAAAACTTGAGCTCTCTTCCAAAACTAAGATTTGAAATCTCTTTACTGAAGAAACTGAATGTTTGGACAATTGCAAAATTATTTGTCTGACTTTAATTAAATATGCACTGCTTTAACTTTTTTTTTTTTGAAAATGACTTTAAAACATATGAAAAATGGCAATTTTTTCTTTTGGGTGAGCAATTAGCTGAAAAGTGGGACGGTCATGGTGGATAGCACTGAGAAAGGAACCGTTAGTCTGCAGGGAGGTTGCTGGTGAACTTTGAGGGTAATCTTGGAACTTTTCTCATTTAGTATTTTCGTGGTTGTGTCATGATCAAGAAGTAAGTGTGTGCTGGTGAAATGCCCCAAGGACAAAAAGATAGGGAATACTGTCAGTGTACTAGTGGGAAAGGGATAATCCCATTCCCAATTCAGGAAGCTGGATGAAATAGCATAGATTTTAAGGTTAAAAATGAATATTAATGGGTTCTGTAACTCTGGTGCTCACCAGTTGAAAAACCTGAGGGACATTAAAGATTGGCCTATTGCTCAATCAGAAGATGACAGTGAGTCACCAATATTATGCAACGGTAAAAAATAAAAGGTAATACATTTGTTTTTTTCCAGTAGAGCTGGGGCTCATTTAATGCCACTGTGCCAAGTGCTTGTGAGATGTCATCGCCAGTAAGATATGTAGTTCTGATTGCTCGTAAACAATACGAGATGTTTCTTTTTTTTTTTTTTTTTACAAAAATAGAACAGAATTTGAATGTAAAGGTTTTGGGACTTGCCTCAGGGTGCAAAACATTGTCTAGCGTGAACAAGGTGAAAGTGATAACAGCTAAATCAGTAGGTCTCAACCAGACAGTCATCAAAAAGGAATCTGACTAAGGATGAGAAAATCTGAAGCAATCTTCAGTTTGGGGTATTAGCTTCATGCATTCAAATCTGAAAAGTCACAATCCAGTTTCACACAGAGAAAGGCAAGGTTGTCTTTCTATCTTTTAAATAAGCAGCTTTGAAGGATTATTGTAATCTTGTAGCACTCATGTGGCTTATTTCCACTCTTTCATACCCTTTTAAATCTTTTAGGCTATCCCCTTTAAACAAAGGGTCCTAAAGTTAGTTTGATGTATTAATATACTTCACTTAGGACCTTGTCAAATATTCCTTCACAAATTCTTCCCTGTGTTGAGGGAAGCTGAGAGGAGTTCAGAAAAAGAATCTCCTTCTGAATTTATAGAAGTGGCTTCAGATCGCCGTGAAGGTAGGATTTTGCATTTTGGTATTTTAAATGTAGCGAAAAACCCCTGTCTGGTTTATTTGATCTAGGTGACTGACTGAGTCTTCTCTTAATGGGATGACTCATATTTGCTGCAAGGCATGTTCCCCTTTAGATTTTGAAGATCAACCATGAGAGCTGATTCATCCATCATTCATGAGCCTGTGCATTTAGCCATTTTTCTTCATGAATGCATTTTTTCAGAAGGCTGAGTCTGGTGGTAGCAATTACTGAATTTATCATGGCCAGAACGTCAAGCCACCTCAGCAACATTGGTAAATGTTTATAGAAGTATTTAGTAAAACTAATAAATGAATATAGGTGTATGGTGTGGTGTTTCCAAGGGGGGTGGTATGAGATCTATAGTTAAGGCTTTCTGTAATAGCAGGAGGAAGGCAAACTTATTTCCATTGATTTATTTCACAGAGATGTGACATTTACTTTGTCAATGGAAACTTGTTCTTCAGAAGCATGATATGGCAAAGAGCTGTCCAGTGATCTGTAATGTCTTCATTGCCATAAGGCTAGTCTGAAGGGCTAGTTACTGTAACTTCAGAAAAGTATCTGGAATTTCTCGGATGACTCCTAGAGTTATTGCCAACTTTCCTAGGATACCTTAGTCACCCCAGCAACTGAAAAGAAGAGCGGAGTAGATTGAGTTCCTCTAAGGAGTTATCAGTTGTCTACTTTACTCTGTCCACCCCAGTCTTGTAGGTGTCCTCACACACTGCCAAATTCTCTTATGTCTCTACCGCATCAGAAGCCTCTTAGAGAGGAAAGGTTTAGCCTTCGGCACCACTGCCTCCCCTCCCCTTTGCTGAGAGGGGTCTCCTTAGGCCCTGATTGCTTTCCATCCCAGCAGCTTCAGGAAGGATAAATGGTAAATTGTGGCTAAGCCGAAGTTTTCCCCTCAGGAGACTAAGTCACACATGCACAAAATAGGAACAGGATAATTCTGGTCTATTAAGATGTGGATGACTGCCACTAGATAAATTACTGCTATCAGTTCCCTGAGATAATGAGGGAGGTGGATGTTGGGCAGCGTTAAAAACCTGACAGGAGTGTGAGCAGTTAAGAGATGCTTCACTCCTTGTCCCGAGTTCAGAAATAAGGAGAAAAAGGGCATGTGTGTGTCCAGAATAGACGTAGGGTTTTAACAGAAGCAAGAAGGAGCGCTGGGCCTCAGCGCAAGGCCTTTTCGTGCAGGACTGGTGGGGCTGGCGAAGGATTCCCCGTGTCTCGAGGTGCTGCAGGCGGTTATGTTAATGGTAAAGCAGCCCCGGACTGTACGCTGTCCTCGATCGTATCGCCCCTTTCCAGATAGCGTGAGTATTGAAGGGAACCTATTTTCTTACGGTTTCCCCTTTCACTTGCTCCTTGGCAGTACTCCTTACACGCTTATGTTCTTTGCAGGAAGAAACCTTGCCACGTCACACATTGTCTGGGTGAGATTCATCTTGTTTAATTTTAGGCATTTATATCCGAACTGCTTGTCTAGATCACCTTAGTGAGAAAAGGACATTTATAAAGCACGAACCGCCTGACCTGTTTTGGGCACCGACCTTAGGATGTTGTGCCTTCGAATTTTCTAAGACCTGCATTGTAGGTATCTAAAATTTAGCTGAGATGCATCTCGCTTTAGCTCTGACGTATTGAGCCTCTCCAGAAAGGCTTCCAGCAAACCCGACATGTTTTGCCAGGAAAAGCGTTAGAGAAGCAGGGATGTGAGGTTAAGATAACGCTCTGCTTACGGCAAAGAGAAGGTTGTTAATTATGCAGCTGTCCCTTCTATATTTAGTTTGCCAAAGCTATGGAAATTTCCGGAACTAACTACGCACATCTCAGCAGGTTGTGCTAGAGCCAGACACAGGCTGTAACAAAATCAAACAGTCCGTGAACTGGATGCAAGCGAGATCATCGCACGCTTCGATTAATTTATTTATATAGCTGCTGTGTTTCGAGGGAAACGTCTGAGCCGTTTGCCGAGGAGGACTGCTGAACCTGGTTTTCATAGAGAAAAATCTTTGTCTTGATGATATTAGGCGTGTGGTTTTATAAGCTAGCAAAGCTACGGAGGTTTCCCCAGAACCGGGGAGGCTGCTTAGACTAAAACATGCCGAACAATTTTTCAGTATCTGTCTAGATCAGAGAGAAACACGGTTTCCCTACCGAGAGCATGCCTTTAATTTCCCCGGGCAGCAACGGAAAGCGGCAGACGTTTTTATGTGGGGTTTTCCACGTCTGTGTTCAGAAGTTATAGAAAAAAAGGCTGTCACTCGTGAGGCAGTCTGCAGTTTTCCTCAAATTGAGGAGCAGCGTGATGGCCTCGGAGTCAAGGCCGGACGCATCCATTGCCCTACGGGCCACCTCGCCGGCTGCGTTTGCTGCTTTGCTTTTCCCCAGGGTGGTACTATCTAACCAAAGCTTTCTTAACTGTGTGTGGAGTTGTTTGTTTTCTTGGTTTGGCTTCTGGATTTTTTTTTTCTGACTGCTTTTATTTTTTCAGATTCATAATTCAATATGCAAATTTCCAAATTTGTTATCTTATGAAAAGGAGAACTTATTTATCTTTAATTTCATGGCAGCAAAGCTACATTTAAAAAGTATTTTGTAGAAAACCTGTTTTACAAGCACATAGTTTGGGAACTCAAATGTATTTGTATACGATTTGTTTTTAATCTGGGGCCCATGGATTTGTGGGGTGCGTAGAGTATTTTGAGAGGATCCATTGAAGTGGTTCTCAGAAGAGCAAATTCGTTCATGTTCTCCTGCGTTCTGGTTTCTGGAACTTGGAGAGGATTCTCTGCGCCCTTCAAAAGTTTTGTGTTTGCAAATTGGAAAAGGTTGGAAAATAATGCCATAAGATATCAGGAATTCATTAGAAATTCATACTTCCACAAAATGATTCTAGCGAGAGCACACCTCAGAGATGACAGAAATGTCGAAGGAGATGTATGAGCACGTTCTTGATTTTGATGTAATGATGTTTGTATCTTTCTGCATTACTACATAGTTTTCTTGGTGATACAACAGATCTATGAAGTGTTCCTGATTTATAAAACCAAATGCAAAATTTAACATCAGACGTTCTGGGAGATCTGAGCAGAGCATGTATTTGGTGTGCTGAAACTTCTCGGTTTCAATAAGCCAGATCGCCAATGCCCTCTTTATGCTTGAGGCTGTACAATATAATGGAATAGGCATGATTTTTCTTCCCCTTCCCCATGCACAAATTTTATGGCAATTTAACTCCTTTCACTTCAAGGAAATTATTTTGAATTTAAAGAAATCTCTGATTAGAACTAGGCTTGACCCATCTTCAAGTAATCCAGGACGTTAATGCTTTTTTTTTTTTTTTCTTTTAATGTGCAGAGATTTCATGCAAACTAAAACTAAATCGCATCAGTAACAGAAATACTTTTGCTTGTGGGTTCTTTTTGGGCAAAATCTCATGCCTCAGAAGATCACTTACAAGCTAAATTTCTTCAGGCAGCAGGCCTGTTTTGAAGGCAGAGTAGTGCCTGTGGACCTGGCTTGTAGGAGAGGGAAAAAAAGAAAAAGAAATTTTGGGGGTAACAGATTTTCCCTACTTAGCGTGGTCTCAGTCTAAACCAGGACTGACTGAAAAATGATATTGTGGGCTGATAGCCCTTCGACGACGTCAAGGTTTTTTTTTCATTGTACAAGTGAAAAGATTTTGCTACCTGGAAGAATCATAAATGTCTGAAGATCAAAGTGAGTTTTCTGGTTTGTGCCTCATGATCAGCGTTAATCCTTTCTGTATAAACAGCTGTGCAATAGCGTTGTCTTTAACTGTAACTAAAAACACGCTTTAACCCGAGTGGGAACTTGGCAGAACTATGGTAATGATGTGATAGCTTGATCAGACTCCTGTTTGCTTTCGCATGACCTTGAAAGCAAATACAGCTCAAAAGCAGTTAATAATAGTAAAAGAAAGTTGATACTAGTGAATACGTTATGTGGGATGGATATGTTGAGAATGTGCTGTTTAATATAGCCAGTTTTTCGAGTGGAACTTGGTTTCAAAAGAAACTGTTAATTTAAATAACTTTCAGTCTATAAAATGACATTCCAGCCCATAAAAAGGTAAGGCTTTCTGCCAGGGCTAGCAATGCTTGGTTCCTCAGTTTGCAGAATAAATATGGCAAGCCTTTTAATGCTGACTTTTTTTTTTTTTTCTGGCTTAGGACTAAATATTTAATCAGTCCGTTATAGATTACTTGTTAATTTCAAATCATTTTAATTTATCTAGTATTTTTCCCCCCCTAGGGATTCTACAAATGAAACTACTGCACATTCAGATGCTGGCAGTGAGCTTGAAGAAACAGAAGTCAAAGGAAAAAGAAAAAGGGGCCGTCCTGGCAGGCCTCCAGTATGTGTAATTTAGTTTTGTTTTGTTATGCATCTATTTAAAATTGACTGCAGACTGTTTTTCATCTAATCATCTTGTGGTCACATAAATAGGCTTTTAATGAGCCCTATGTCAAACTTTATGAAGACTTTTAGTATGAAATATTTATCAGATTGATATATAAATAATGTTTGGAATGATTAAAAAGGGACATAAAAATGAGCTCGTAATAGCTACTATTTTTTTCTTTCACTAGTTGCTTACATGAACATTACAGTTCTGTTGTTATTGTCATATTGCAACGTTCTTCCAGACGTGAGAGTAATCTCAGTAAGCATGACCAGTTTGTTTTGAACGTTTTAATGGATTTTTAAAGTGACAAATGACACTTGAGCCATCCTTTTAGTAACCAGTAATCTTGTAATGTGAACGGAAGAGTTGCAGCATAGTATTAACTTTATGCTGCAGAAGATCTATTAACACATTTTAAAAATTGATGTAATTGATATACACTGTGTCCTGCAAATGGATAAGGAGCTTCAGTTTTTTTTATCTAGCATACCACAGCAGTTAACCCACAATTTTGATATCTGCTATATAAGACTCGTTAGCAGAACACCTTTCTTCTTCTGGGAAACGGTCTTTGCCCGTGAGTGGGAATAAGCAGAAGCACTTCTCTCTTATACATAGCATTAAGGAGGCTTTCTCTTTTATTCGTTTTATAAAACAGTATTCAATTTATAGGCAAACGCAGAAGTTCTGTTGTGTCGTGTGGTCATTCTTTTTAGTTCTTCAGGGTCTTCAGATGTGCTTCTCTTGTTTGAATATATCACCTGAAGTACACACTGTGGAGTAAGATTTTTGGTGGGAAGTTCTGTTTGCTGCTAATCATTCTAATTCTTCTCCTAGTCTTAATCTACAGGTACATTGCTGGTATGAATGTCTAGATATATAGCACTAGTAGATGGAGATTTTTTTTTCCTAAGTCTAGCTCCCTGTGCATGGGCTAGTGAGGCTATTAGAAAGGACAGAACCACGTGTTCCTCTCAAGCATGCTGGTCAAGTCGGAGCAAACACCTCTGTGTTGATTTTCAACTTGCTTCATGGTTTCTGGACTTATTTCAGGAGCCAACACTTTAAATCCTGGGCTTTTCTGAGCAAATTTTCTTCATTTTTTGAAAGTTTTTATAACAGTTTCCTATGATGCCATATTTTCTTCATCAGATGGATGCGTTTGCTGACTTTATCTTAATAGGAAACATGTTAAGAACAGGTCATCTGCTTACACAGCCTTTAAGCCAAGGGCAAAAAGAGAAACATCTTAAGAATATCTCATTAGCCTATGAGTCTATGAGATGAATCAATCTATGAGTTCTTGCAGATCTAATTGAAAAAGGATGGTGCAACCTGACTGCCACCCCAGAAAGTTGACAAAGTCTAGGAATTTCACTTACAGAACCACTGGTACTATTTTGTACCCTCACGTAATCACTGGAAAGAAAAGGTGAATGCTATAAAAGGCATTCCTCATCCCTTTATCTTGAGCCTATTAATAGCTCCCATGGGACTGTTCCCTGAAGCACTCTCCGAGTCCTGCTATCAACCGTTCTGCAGGATCAAAATGCTTATTTTGCTTAGAACAACTCCAGGCTCATTAAGGGTACATAAGTGTGAAGTGGTGAATATGGAGGGGAAGAAGTTACAGCTTCACACAGAATGATGGGCTGTGAGCTGACCATTACTACTAAGGAGCAAGACTGTAGGGTTATGATAGGTGATTGTGTGAAAACATCATTGTAATGTTCAAAAGGAGTCAAAAAAGCAAATCCAATGTTAGAATTCTGAGGAAAAGAATGGAGAACAAAACAAATAATGTCCTTTAAATCCATAGTTTGCCAATGCTTTGAACACTTTGTACAAATCCAGTTTCTCTTCCCCCTTCCACTCCCATCCAAGAATCTCAAAAGGATATAATAGGACTAGAAAAGGTTCAGATAAGAGCAGCAATGGAGATCATAGAGTCAAGGAATCATTCAGTCTGGGGCGTCCCAGTCCCACCTCCTGCTCAAAGCAGGGTCAGCTCTGGGGTCAGGCCATGTCACTCAGGGCTTTATCCAGTCCTGCAGGGCCTCTCTCAGCAACCTGTTCCAGTACTCGACTTTGACTGGTGAGAAGTTTTTTGTTGTTGTTGTTGATGTTATTTTTTGTTTTTTGCTTGTATTGAGTTGGAACCTCTCTTGCTTCAGTTTGTGACTACTGTCTCTTGTCCTACCACCATGCACTGCTATAAAAAGCCCCGTAGGGTAAGTGTTCCCAGCCCTCTATGTTGGTAGCCCTCTGCTGAACTTGCTCTATTTTATCAATAGCTCTTTTGCGTTGAGAGGACCAAAACCGGACACAGTATTCCAGATACAGTCTAACAGTTGCTGAATAGAAGGAGGTAATGACTTTCCTTGGTCTGTTGGCTATGTTCCTCTTTGTACAGCCCAGGGTGGTGCTGGCCTTCTTTGCTGCCAGGGCACATTGCTGTTTCATATCCAGCTTGCTGTCTGCCGAGACCCCAAGGTCCTTTTCCACAAAGGTCTTTCCCATCCAGGCAGGCCTCAGCCTGTGTTGTTGCAAGGGGTTATTCCCTGCCATCTTTGCATTTGTCCGTGTTGAATCTCATGAGGCTCCTGTTGGCCCATCCGTCCAGTCTGTCAATGGCAGCCATGCTCTTGAGATCATTGACTGGGCTCCCTGCCAGTTTGATGTCATCTGCAAACTTGACAAGAGTGCACTCTCTCACACCCTCCAGGTAGCTGATGAAGATGTTAAACAGGACAGGTTCTAGTGTAGATCTCTGGTACTTCCTCGTCACCAGCCTCCAGCTAGAGGATGATCCATTAACCACTATCCTCTGAGCTCAACTGTTCAAAGAGTTATCCACCCACCTATTAGTCCAGCCATCCAAACCACAGCTTCCCAACTTGGATACAAGAATGTTGTGGGAGACAGTGGTGAAAGCCTTGCCAGAGTAATCACAGGCCACTGCTCTCCTCTCATCCACAAATCCAGTCATTCTGTTGTGGTTTTCCAGTTGACTTGACTAAACGTATATATTTAAATGCACAATCAAATTCTTCTTCCTTAGCTGATACTACAGGAATGGAAAGGAATAAAGAGGCAAACAACGCTTCTGCAAGCAATGACTGAAAAAAAGCTATTCAATCTCTGATATCCTTGAGGAAACATACAGATGTCTTGGAAAGACTAGGCATTTAAATTTGTAACATTATTCAATACTGAAAATCATGCATTTGCTAGAGGTATCGGTAAACATTGTAATTTCACTTTTCCTGCTACTCCATGTTGCTAAGCTGTCCATCTCCCACAGGCGATGAATTACCGGCCTGTTTCTCGCAGAAGGTGCAACTCTTGCATTTCTCCTCTGCTCTACCATCTGCTAACATCCTTTTTTTTCCTTCGCAGGTACTACCTACCTTTTCTCTCAGATATGAGAGGTTAACATAATTTAGTACAATTAATAGCTGTTCTTCTCAACTGGTATTTAGCTTCAATATTTTTCATTTATTTTATAGACTTAAAGAGAGGCTTTTGTGCCCAAAAGCTTTTCCTTTTTTTCCCCTCCCCCCAATGGAAATATGGTCTAACAAGACTTAATCTCTCCCCACAAACCTTGCCTTGCTGTGTCCTTAGCCATCACAGCTACGATGACACATCTGCCATAAATGCACTGACCTCTCTTGGGAGAAAAGTTTACTCTTCTGTCTGGTTTGTTGAGCTGCACGGTTCTGTTACAAAGCTACACACAGTGTAGTACAGCAAATATATGGAGATATGAATTTATTTTAAATAGTTTTCTGCAGTAGCATTTTAGAATGGCCCTGGCCCTTTATCAGAAAGGTAAGCTACCGCTAGATGTTTTTTCCAGAGTTTCTGAACATCGCAGAGAGAACTGTCTGGGCCACCGGCAGTGTTGTACAACAGTACAGTGTAGTACAACAGACACTCCTCCTTGTGGATATTACTTTCATAAGGAGATAGTCCTTAGTTGAAAATTTGTCATTTGTGGCAAAGACCTTTTCAGTTCATGCAGAACTTGAGTTTTGGGGAAACTTTGCTTCCTGTTCTGAAAATGCTACTTTACAAGTCTCCTCCTCTTTCCGTGTAGAGACTTTTCTAACAAGTGCTTGCCTGAGTGTAGTCTAAACTTGTGAAGAGATTAAGCATGTTGTCCCGTCAGAGTAACTCTCAGATCTAACTCACGTGTCCTGAATTCCCAGAGCCTTGCAGTGAATTTAGCAGGAGTTGCCCCATGTCCTGTTCAGACGTTTACAGGGCCTGGGGCTGGCCTTGCTGTTGCCCAGGTCTTCTCTAGACTGAGTCTTGCAGGATAGCACTCTGTGGAGCAATTGGTCAGGATACAAATCCGTCCAGTCAGTGGGCTATATTGATGCATGTATTTACATGGTGCTGTATGTGAGTGGACCATCTGGATTTATATTTAGTGAACCCTGTGGTGTGTATTTAATGAGTGACCCATGACAGAGTCCTCTGGTTACAGTTGCTGAGTAACCCTGGCCACAGAATGCCTTTTCTGTCTGCCGCATTATCTAAGTGCGTGGGCATGGATGCTCTCTCCTGTTCTAGCTTAGGGATTTGAAAGCCCAAGGGCTAGTGATGTAATGCAGCTTTCACATTAGCGAGCTGGGGCTCAGAGCAGTCATATATTGTGTACTTCTTGCCTCCTCTCATGGATCAGCGCTCTCATGAGAGTGCTGTTTAATGTTGTCGTCATTCTCTGTGTTAACCTACCTGGCCCTACCTCCCCAGGAGCTCAGAATAGTTCGGCTTACAACCTCAGCTGTGACAGGTCGAGGGACCGAGAGACATCCCTGGCTACGTTTCAGTTACAGGATGTTAAAGTAGGAGTAGCTAGAGATCAGTCTCTTTGACTCAGAGGACAAGAAGAAATATCGGTGTTTCTGTTGCAGAGGTGGCTGTGCTGATATGTCTAC